AATATCAATCTCTTCGCTTAGAAATAAAATTTAAAAGCAAAACAATAAAGGCAACTATATACAGCAATTTTTACTGCAGTAGGTGTCAACGTTGATGTCAATATTATATCGTAGGAGAAGGAACACCAGCTTCTATTATATATCTTGGCTTGTTTGTAGAAAAAGTTAGGGCTAAAATGTTGTCTTTTAAGTGAGAACTCGACTTAAAATAGCATATTTCCTAAGTACTGTATTTCTTATCACCTGACCTTGCAAATTGTCCTCTTGACTCCATATTAAGTTCTTTTAAAAAGCTGAGTGCTTACCTTGTGACTAGCGCTTTGTTAGGTTCAGAGCAACTGTGAGATTTAAAAATTTACCATTTTGACTGTGAAGTCTGCAGGGAAGCAGGCTGCTTTAGCAGCTGTTCTGATTCAGAGAGAGGGTGTGAAAATCCCCCTCTCCCCACTCTGGATTTGTGTGTAAGACCTACCATTCCATCAGGGTCAGGGCCTAAGGTTCAAGCATTATTAAGTATCATTAATTAATAATAAACTTAATATGAGGCAGACACTGTGGGGATAAAATGGAGAGCAAAGAAGATATGTTTCCTGTCTTCACTGTGCTTCCAGTCTGCTGGGGGAACGCAGATAAGAGGCCATTACAGCTAAGTATGACAACTGCCACAGACAAGAATGACTTCTTTCTTCAACTTCTAGTGACATCTAGAATTCCAGTGTTTTTCAAATTTCAGGTTGCAATCCATTATTAGGTCTCAAAAGTGCATTTTTGGAGCAATTTTTAAAAAGTAATTTAAAAAATCTATGCACAAAAGTAGAGAGAATAATGCAGTAAATCCCTTAGCCACACCCCAGATTTAAGAATTAACAAAACTTTTCACTTTAAAAATGAAAATGGGATAGTTAAAAGAATAAAATAGACCAGATTAGAATAGCATGGGCTACAAAATATGAGAGTGTATTGCACTAGGAGTACTGCACACAGTAAGTATTGTTCTATAAAACTTGTGTGTGTGTACTTACTGGGTTCAAGATATAAAATAATGTATAGGACTCCATCAAAAAGGAAAGAAAGAAAAGAAAACCAGTGTATCCATTTGTATCCTTATTGCCAATACAATGCTCCTTGAGAAGGCTCTGGATAAATGTTTGATGATGACAATAACCAACAGAGGCATGAGGAGATAGCTGGAGAAAATTCCAGGATATGCTTAAAATTAACTTTTCAAAACAGGGAGCTGGCTCATAAGGTAGTATTTTCATGCTCATATCACTATTACTCGGCTAATGTTGACTAAGGACCTACTCTGTCTGGGCAGTGTGCTAAGTGCGCGGGATGTAGAAATATTTAAAACACAGCCCTTCTTTCTCAGAGCTGCCTATTGTGTGGAGAAACAGCAGGGGAGAATAGTTTATCCTTCATGTAAAAGAATCAACACTTGAAAACGCTCACTTCACTATAACTAACACACACTAACACAACCACACGCACGTATGGCTGTATTTTATTTTTGTTTATACTGAGATCATATACATATGAATCAACAAATTGTCTTTTTCATTAAACAATCTATCAGATACATCTTTTTGAATCAATACATACAGCGCTGCCTCGTTCTTTTTGATGGCTATGTGATGTGAATGTGTCATCATTTATCCACTCCTCTACTAAACAGGAGCCTATCCTCAATGTCCAAAGCTGCAAGGAATCTCTGTATACACACCCTTACTAGCTTTTCTGTAGGATAGACTCTTCAAAATGAGATTGCTAAGCATAGTGGCTTTTGTACTTTAACACTGTCAAAATTTTTTGCCTTCCGGCGGCTGAGTGGTTAAGTTCTCGTGCTCTGCTTTGGCGGCCCAGGGTTTTCCTGGTTCGGATCCTGGGTGCGGACATGGCACTGCTCATCAGGCCATGTTGAGGTGGTGTCCCACATGCCACAATTAGAAGCACTCACAACTGAAAAAAATATACAGCTATATACTGGAGGGATTTGGGGAGAAAAAGCAGGAAAAAAAAAAAGGATTGGCAACAGTTGTTAGCTCAGGTGCCAATCTTTAAAAAAAAAAAATTTGTTTTACCTTCCAAAAAATAATTGCTAATTTACATACCTACCAAGAATATAAGCAGCTATTTCCCCACAGTATCACCAACACAGTATATTACCAATCTTGCTACTTGATGGTCACAAATATCTTCACTTTAAAATGTTTGCATTTCCTAGATTACTACTGAGATTGTCCATCTTTTTATATGCTTATTGGCTATTAATCTGTGAATGTCCTTTGTGTTTCCTTTGCCCATTTTTCTATCAGGTGTTTCATTACTATTTTTTAGGCGTTCTTCAGCTATTTGGGATTTAGCCTTTAATATACTGCGAATATTTTTCTCTGTCAATTTTTTTTTTTTTGAGGAAGATTAGCTCTGAGCTAACATCTGCTGCCCATCCTCCTCTTTTTGCTGAGGAAGACTGGCCCTGAGCTAACATACGTGCCCATCTTCCTCTACTTTATACATGGGACACCTGCCATAGCATGGCTTGGCAAGTGGTGCATAAGTCCACACCTGGGATCCGAAGAGGCTAACTCCAGGCCACCAAAGCAGAACGTCAGAATTTAACTGCTGCACCACCAGGCCAGCCCCTCTGTCATTTGTATTTTAATTTTTTTTTTCCTTAAAGATTGACACCTGAGCTAACAACTGTTGCCAATCTTTTTTTTCCTTTCTTTCTGCTTTTTTCTCCCCAAATCTCCCCAGTACATAGTTGTATATTTTAGTTGTGGGTCCTTATAGTTGTGGCACGTGGGATGCCGCCTCAGCGTGGCCTGATGAGTGGTGCCATGTCCACACCCAGGATCTGAACCAGCGAAACCCTGGGCCGCCACAGCGGAGCGCGTGAACTTAACCACTCGGCCTCGGGGCCGCCCCCTGTATTTTAATTTTCTGTATGGTGGTTTTGTATAACTGAAGCTTTTCATCTTTATGTAATCACATCTGTCGCTCTTTTTCTTTATGGCTTCTCATTTTTATATTTTGCTTAAGAAGGAATTTGTCACTCTAAAAAGATAAAAATAACCTCCAATATTTTCATCTAGTACTTTTATGGATTTAAAAAATGTTTATCTCTTTAAATTAGCTAGAATTAATTTTTGTGTATAGAGTGAAGTAAGAAGCCACCTCCCCTCATCTGGCACTGACCAACGGGTGGACAATATTCCTGAGACAAGTTGTTTAAAATCTAGAAGGTAATGCTGACGGGCAGGATCAGCCCCACCTGAACCACACAGACTGAAAGTAATCATTACTTTGAATCAGAACTACGAACAGACCAAAACAACACTGGTATTATCAGTGCTCTCATCTTAGACACAATTAAAGAGGAGTCCGCAGGACATTATCAGGAACTCTCCAAAAGGTGGTGTTTTTAGTAAACAATTTTGTGTTAATATGCTCTTTTGTACATGGTTCTCTTAATGTGATACCTGGGGCAAAAATATACATATTTTATAAAGAGGTAGAAACGGAAAAAAAGGAGAGAGAAGATGTTGAATGGTATGGAAGATATCGCTATTGGCTTGCTAGCCTAACAACCATTGCCGACCCGCTCTCCCTGGCTTGCCTCCCCTACAATCGGAAAAGGTTACATACTTGATGTCCCAACCGCCTACTCAATCAAGATGGTCATGTGACTCAGTTCTGCCCAATGGATGTAAGTGCAAGTCTTCTGGGGGCTGGCCTGGTGATGTAGTGGTTAAGTTCACATGCTCCGCTTTGGTGGCCCAGGGTTCACAGGTTGGGATCCTGGGTGCAGACCTAGTACTGCTCCTCAAGCCATGCTGTGGCGGCATCCCACATAACATAGAGGAAGATTATCACAAATGTTAGGTTAGCGACAATCTTCCTCAAGCAAAAAGAGGAAGATTGGCAACAAATGTTAGCTCAGAGCCAATCTTCCTTACAAAAAAAAAAAAAAGTGCAAGTCTTCTGGGAAAGCTTTCACTTTCCCAAAAGGGCAGATGTGTCTGGCCCCACTCCTTTCCCCTTTTCCTTCTCTGAACACAAATGTGATGTCTGGAGCTGCAGCAGCCATCTGGTGTCTAGGAGATAATTAGCTATCCTACTAAGGATGGAATGGAAACAGAAAGAGGCTGAGTCTTTAATGATACTGGTAAACCTCTAAACCAGCCCTGGCCTGCCTACCTAGAGACTTCTTGTGATGCAAGATAATTAAATATTGTTATTCTTTTTTTTTTTTTAAAGATTTTATTTTTTCCTTTTTCTCCCCAAAGCCCCCCAGTACATAGTTGTATATTCTTCGTTGTGGGTCCTTCTAGTTGTAGCATGTGGGACGCTGCCTCAGCATGGTTTGATGAGCAGTGCCATGTCCGTGCCCAGGATTCGAACCAACGAAACACTGGGCCGCCTGCAGCGGAGCGCACAGACTTAACCACTCGGCCACGGGGCCAGCCCCTAAATATTGTTATTCTGAAGTCATTGTTAGACAAGTTTCCTGCAGCTGAAAGTATTTTTAATTGGTACCAATGGTGTGAGCCCAATATTCTGGAAATAGTGAAACAAAAGAGTTTTAATGTTTCTTACTAATAATGCCTTCATAAAATTATCAGAAACTACTTTCTAGGGATTACTTTTTTTTAGATAAAAACTCATAAAGAAACAATTTAAAATGGTAGAATTTATTTTAATATAATGATATACATGTACACACATATACTATTTTAAAAATAAGCTTGTAAACTATAATCATTATAAAACATAAATTAGCCTTAATTTAATATTATCAGAGTAAAAGAGTACGTATAGAAGTCATTCTAACATTGCTGCATTTGCCTTTTAAAGTTAGAATACATAAAATATTTAGCATATTGTATTTCATCTTGTTTCAGTTTTCATATTATCATCATTAGGTATAAATACCCTTAGGAAGGTGCCAACTTATAACTTATATTCAAATACCCAAAATCTCTTAACAGTTATTAAAGTACCATTAACTCACCTAAAATGAGTAATCTAAAAAAATACTAGCCTAAATTAAAACCCTGAGGAATTAAAATCTTTTTACACAATAGTTTTGGTTAAGTGCAATTCCATGTTCATACTACTTTATTTAAGGTCATACTTGGTAAGGCATAGTAAAAATAAAATCTACATAAGTTACAATCTAAATCTATATTTCATTTCTTGCTACAAAGTTGTTTTGATTCCTCAAAAAGTAGTTTTTGCATGTCATTCTGGACCTCTTCACCACTTGCTGGTTTATTGGCTTTATACACAGTAGTTGAAATCTGTGCACTCCGCTGAGCTGCCTTTACACGGTCGTTCAGACAAAATGCACCTGCAGAACTACATGCTAGAGAGTTCGTGTCCGTGCTCAACCATGGCCTGCATGAATTGCTTGAAGACTCGATCCATGTAAGTGGACTGCCTTGGCCAGATTCCCTCCAGAAAACCAATATGGCCTCCATAAGAAGTAAGGACCAAAGCAACGTTAGGATTTTGCTTAGCAGTTTCTATTGGAATAGCTTGGGGAAAAAAGGGGGGAGGGGTAACAGAGAGGTAGGAGAGAGAAAAAACATAATTACTACCAGTTTTTGTTAGGAAAAGTGTATGCCTTTATCATTTCCAATCATTATAAACCAAAACACCACTAAACAAATAAATATTTTTAATGAGTATGGCTAATAGAATAAGTCTGACTAATTTATGTCAACCATCTTAGTCTTCTAATAGTTTATGTCTCCCGTTACATACTGGACCACCGTTTTTGGAAAAAATCAACCCAAGTGTTTAATCATAACATAGAAGTATAGGCCCAGTCTTATTTTGAGAAATTAAAGCAAGATAATTCAAGAAATGGTGAATATTTACATTTTGCTACAAGATTCCCACTTAGGTGTTACAGCAGGGAAAAAAATACAATTAATATTATTACCTTTGTGAGAGTCATAAATTCATTATGTAAGACTGGTTAACTTTACATGAAGTTAGATTTCTGGGGCCAACTGGTGGCTATATTAAGGATTCAGAATTATAAATATGATTTACACAGTAAAAACATACATAGATAGCGAAAAAGGATGGACTAAAATACTCCCAAGTGATAACAGTGTTTATCTTTGGGTGGTGAAACATTGATTACTTTTTCTTTTTCTTGCTTCTCTGTTTCTATTTATAGTCAGGAGAAAGAAAAACTTTATTTCGAAAATATAGTTGCTGTATTTAAATAATTCACCAGTAATGACAGTCTTTTCATTTGCTCTTCAAAATTTATCCGGAGTAAAAACTTTACTCTACAGGATATGAATTACAGTTGTTTTTTCTCCCATGCTTAGAGTTCAAACAGTGAAAATGTTTTGATTTAAGACCTATAATGGATCACAACTGCCATGTGAAGTGTTTTGATTTCAGATATGACTAAATCTTATCTCCCTGGTTCAGACAACACGCTTGATGTAATATCTTTGCCCGATATCTTGGGTAAAGTCTTAGGGGTGAATGAACTATTTAAAGGTAAGATCTCCCTACCCTACGCCCTTCTAAGGAAGGAAAGGAGGCTGACATGCTATCGGAGAACCGACCCCCTTCCAAGGCAGAGCGGCTGCCGTGCCCAAACCGCCCGTTGAGATGATGCTCTTCATCTGATCCTTCACAACGCTCCTTGAAGAATAAACTTAGAGATCCTAAAGAAAGGCCCAGCAAGTCAAGCCCTTGTCTAAAAGGAGTCCTGAACTCACCTCCTTAGCCAGCCACACCTAAAAATATACATCTCCTATCTTGGGATCAGGCGTGAGAGCTTAAGGGGGTTTGGGGGGAGTGGGCAGGTGAAATGACTGATGCTATTTTCGCTTTTCCTTTTTCACCTTACTTTAAGGGCTTAGATTTAGAGTGCTTCATTTTCCTCTAATGTAATTATGGAGAGCCCCGGTTTCACACTCTGGATACACTCAGGAACTTCTAACACTGATAGATAGAGTCACATCAGAAGAACAAACGGCTGCGCCACATTCGAGCCACGTGGAGGATGCCGGCTGCCCATGCTCTCAACGCAGACGATCGCCCCCTATTTCAGTGTAGTGAGACTGTCTTAAGGGCTTGAGAGAGAAAAGGAAATAAGGAATTTAAACTTCCATCAAGCGGGTCCAGTTAAATGCTGAGCAATTTTTGTTGGTAGGACAAGGGTCAGTGAAATGTAAAAATACATGAACGAATACTAGACTTCCTTAATCAATGAACATAGGCTAAACTGTGTAATTCAACTGATAGTAAAGTTCACAGTTTCATTTTCTGACTTGTGGTCAAAGGCAAAAAGTTCCAGCCACCACAATTACCCGGGATTAATCATAAATCACACAATAAAATGATAACCCCTAGGGAGATGATAGGTGATTTTTTTTTTTTTCCTTTTTCTCCCCAAAGCCCCCCGGTACATAGTTGTATGTCCTTCGTTGTGGGTCCTTCTAGTTGTGGCATGTGGGACGCTGCCTCAGCGTGGCTTGATGAGCAGTGCCATGTCCGCGCCCAGGATTCAAACTAGTGAAACACTGGGCCACCTGCAGCGGAGCGTGTGAACTTAACCACTTGGCCACGGTGCCAGCCCCTACGTGATTTTTTTTTTTTACATACTTTGGGGATTTTCTGAAATTTTGACAATCCATGTGTATTGTGTTTGTAGTTACAATAATTTTTTTTTTAATAAAGTACTTGGGGGAAAATGTTTCAAAAGTAGTTAGAAGGGAAATAAAGAGAACAGATTTATAAAAAGCTTTGTGAAACTTCAATAGAAAAAAATTAGAGGTGAAATCTACTGATCCTTAAGATAGCACAACTACGTCTAATCACCTTATATTGCTTCAAGGTACAAACACATGCATAAGTATTTTTGCTACCAAATTCCATATTTCTTGAATTAAGAGAGAAAGGAAGTTAATTTGGGCATAATTTTCCTTCATGCACTATCCAGGGGTAAAACAAAGACTGTCTCCCTTCAAATACGACCTTATAGTCCGACTGCGCCAAACTCATTGAGATATTCAAGGATCTCATGTTCACAAAGTCTCAAGTTCTCTTCTAGGTTAAAAGGGGAGAAAAATTCCAAAGCCTTCTGTATAGAAAGCTCAGGAAGAAAAGGCCAGTGAAGACAATGCTGCTGAGGCAAAGATACTGTAACAGAATCTGTCCAAAGAACGTCATTTGGTGTATTTGACAAGAAGGAAAGTTATAAAAATGAGAACAAGCAAAATATTGAGAGTCATAATTTGTTCTGAGGCTCTCACAGTTGATTAGATAAGGGCCTATGTAAACAATCTGAGACATTTAGATACTAGATTATGAGTATCTAGCTATTTTTTTCTGTTTATTACCATGGATAACATTATATGACTGACATTTCATTTCTTATTATTCTATTTTCTTAAAAAGGACAAGATTTTAAAACAGTTAATTCATGTCAAATGTATGCAAAGATGGTAATTTTACCATGACTGGGTGAAAAAACATCATCCTCAGAATTCAGACACAGCACTGGAATCCCCACTGATTTCAGCCTACGATTTGGACTGGCATCAGTGTAGTAATCGTCGATTGTTCGGTATCCAAACATGACTGAAGTGAATCGCTTATCAAACTCTCTGATGGATTTAGCCTGGAAAAGGAAAGCAGATTGTACCTATTCTTGGAATCAAAAGAGGAAATAGGGGCTGGCCCGCAGCGGTTAAGTTCGCACATTCCGCTTCTCAGCGTCCCAGAGTTTGTGGGTTCGGATCCCGGGTGTGGACATGGCACCACTTGGCAAAAGCCACGCTGTGGTAGGCATCCCACGTATAAAGCAGAGGAAGATGGACACGGACGTTAGTTCAGGGCCAGTCTTCCTCAGCAAAAAGAGGAGGATTGGCAATAGTTAGCTCAGAGCCAGTCTTCCTCAAAAAAAAAAAAAGAGGAAATAAAAGTATTACATAAATTTTCCCTCCTACCTTCATGACATGATCCATGTCAATCTGCTTTACAAACATATGCCGGTGCCTGGAAGAAAAAGATTTCAAAAGTTAAAAATCAAAGCCATTTCCACTCAAAGACTCCTAAAATACATAACAATAAATAACTTTGCCCAGCACAGGGCACAAAGTTGGTACTCAGTAAATATTTACTTAATCAGACATAGCAGGAGTACATTGATATTCATCCTTATGACTTTTTTTAATTACTTTTTTCTTAATTGAGAAATAACGAACCAGTTCTGTAATAATAAACATAAATGTTGTTTCATAACAAATCATACCTACGCACTGTTGCTATTAAACCAATTTGGCTAAAAGGCCTTACTTAAGTCAGAAGCTTACAATTGGATAAATCATCTGAAGACATTATTTTTTAAATTGCTATACTGAAAATTAGAACTTAGACTTTTATATACTTATTTTCCAAATGTTGACAATTTTTCTCGCATTTTAATTCTAATCATTCTCTTTACTTTTCTTGCTTTTGTCCCCCACTTCAGTGACCACAAGTAATTAATGATACGATGATTCTTTAGTATTTTTAGCAATATTGTATAATCACCACCTATAATTTAACAAATAGGTTAAGTTTAATCCAAGGTTTAATGTCAACTTTCAGGATAGCTACAAATTTCAATAAGTGATGCACAAATTAACTGCACTTTTAATTTAGTTTCTATTTAAATTTATCAATTCACTTAAAAATGCACGGTAACAATCATCAAAAAATAAACAGAAACAACTCTATGTTCTTTGCTACCACACCACGGAACTGTTAGAAAATACACAAACAAGTCCTGAAAAACTAATGCCAAGACAGTATTTTGGTAACACTAAGAATTGCTGGGGCTGAGAATACCCAAGTGAACTGCATTCTCCTAAGCCTCTAAAACATACTAAGCTCATAAGCCCATGCTTAAGGAACCATATTATTCAGCACTGAAAATACTTAACACGTACTACTTAGGAGAGAATTAGGTATTGATAAGATTAGCAACAAGTAGGAAATCCAGGCAAATAGCCCATAATATTACTCAACACATTCAATACTAACATTTTCAGTCTTTTAGAGTAATTTAGAACAGCAACAGAAGAGTGATCATCAAAGTGGGGGCACATACTCCAGGGGTTGTTCAAGATAAATCACTGGGGTACAGAAAGAAAACATTACAACTTTCATTTATATTTTTAGCTTATACTTAAAATCTTTTTATTTTTGTATATATTTACAATATAAAGAATATTTTGGTGCAGTAGTAAATGCATATAATGTAAACATAAATAGACACACACTAGCAGTGCTATGCTTTCACATTTTTTGCTGTTGGGGCATGTAATCCAAAAACTTTGGCAACATCGGGTTTCAGAGATGACTCACTTATTCACTGAAGACTGCAGGCACGTTGTCAGATAATAATTAAAAAGCAGCCAGTTGAGTGGTTTCTCCAACGACTCCGAGCAAGCAAAAGTGTTCCAGCCAACTGAAAAAGTTGCAGCTGCCTTCAAAGGAGTTTTTGGCCCAATTTTCCCAAGGTAATTTAAAAGCAGCATTCTAAAATGAGAAGAAGAAACAGGAAACTCAGTGATGAATTTGTTATCTCTCTCAAGATATCCCATTTCTTACTCTGGACTTCACATTAACTATGGAGAAGAAAAATATAAACCAAGTTTATGTCCTTTACCCCAGGAAAGCACACAGGTATCTTCATTTTTTACTTACATTCATATACTCATTTATCTTACAGTTGACTATTGTGAATGGGACAAAGCATACACATAACTATATGTGTACCCTTCTATGAAATAAAACATGAAAGAAATCCACTGTAAGAGTGGTTTTCTTTTTTCTTTTTTTCAAAATCATACTGGGGATTTATTAAAAATTCGCATATCCTTGGGCACCAGCCTACAGCTGAATGTTTAGTACGTGAGGAGTGTTTTTCTGCAAAGGGCCACACAGTAAATGTTTTCGGCTTTGCTGGCCATATAATTTCTGTTGCAACTACTCAACCCTACTGTAGTGTGAAAGCAGCTGTAGACAACACGCAAACGAATGGACATCACTATGTTCCAATAAAGACATTATATATGGATATTGAAATTTGAATTTCACATAATTTTCACGTCATGAAATATTATTCTCTTTTTGATTTTTTTCAAGTATTTAACAATATAATAACCATTCTTGGCTCTTGGACTGTACAAAAACAAACAGCTGGCCAGATCTGGCCTGCGGGCTGTGGTTTGCTAAGCCTTGGCATAGATGAAAGAGCACAGGACGAGCGGTTTCCAAACTTGGCTGTGCACTGGAATCACCTGGGGAGTTTCAAAAACTATCACGGATGTCTGGGTCTCACACCCAGAGATTCTGGATAACCGGCCTGAGGGGCTTTTCCAGTTGCCTAGCCTCTCTGCATCTACAGCAAGTCTCTAAAGGGCTTTGTAGTCTGAAGTTAGACTCTCTGAGTTGTGGCAGAGCAAGTGTCCCCTAAAGTCACTAGTTTTCTCTTCTACTCTTTCCTGTTATTTGTCCTTATCTTCTATCATATATTTTCCTCTTTTCCTATTGTTCTATCAATTTTCCTGATTCTAACCTAGTTCTATTTTGGTAAGAGTGACAAGAATGGAATATATCTAATCCCAATGTTAGAAATTCAAGTTTAACACTGCCAACTGAGAGAAAGGATGCTATCCTAAGTTCTGCTCCTCATTATATTTTCCGTTCTTCACTTCTCCACCTGCCCAGCTTCTGAAATAGGAGAAATGGGTAAAAATTCTCTCTCATTCTTTTTACCAAACCAAATGATTTGCAGGGTGAATATAATAACGTTTTAGATCAAAAGTAGAGATTTCATTTTTCAAAATGACTCTTCATAATGACTCTACTCCTTGTACACAGTACTGTGGTTCACTAAGCCATTTAAAGGATAGTACTATATACAACTATATACTGGAGCTTTGTGGGGGGAAAAAAAGGAGAATGCTTACTCTCCTGCAAAGAGTTCATTCTAGGGTCCTAGTTTTGGTGGTCCTATTCTTTGGCTGGAGGTCTGATATAATGGGAAAATTGGAAGGGTTGCAAGGGAAGCTCTCAGGAGTAGGAAGGACCAGGAGCAGCCATGACCAAGTAGGTGGTGATACTTCTTGAAGCAAAATCATGTCAAGACGTTATGCCAAAAAAGGTGGTTTTATTTTGAAAGGAAAAGGACTCTGTTTTTTCACCAAAAGAAGAAAATTACAAAAAAAAGAGTGGGGTAGATGGAGAAAGAACTCGTGGATTAAGAGACTTAAGAGGCATATCCCAACGTATGGTCCTTATCTGGCCCCTGACTCCAACAATCCAACCAACAATCCAATCCTCCTGTCAAATTCAACCAACCAATCATCACTTGGCAAAATGTGACACTGAGTGAATATTTGATGATATTTAGGAATTATTCTGAGTGTGTGTGATATGGTATTGTGATATGTGTGAGTGATACAGTGTTGTGGTATTTCTTTTTGTGAGGAAGACCGGCCCTGAGCTAACATCTGTGACAATCTTCCTCTATTTTATGTGGGATGCTGCCACAGTGTGGTTTGATGAGCAGTGCTAAGTCCACGCCAGGAATCCGAACCTGCGAACCCCAGGCCACTGAAGTGGAGCGCAGGAATTTAACTACTATGCCACTGGGCCGGCCTCTCTTTGTTTGTTTTTTTAAGAGACAACCTTTTAGTGACGACTACTCAAATATTTATGATATCTGAGATATATTTTAAAATAATTGGAATTGGGAGGGAATGGGGGCTGACACTGTAAACAAGATTATCCATGAGTTGGTAACTATTGAAGCTGCGTGATAAGAGTCACTATTGAAGCTAGGTGATCAGCATATACGGGGGATCATTATACTCCTCTCTGTACTTTTATATATACTTGGAATTTTCTATACATTTTTTTAAACTTGTTTACCAACTCACCGGGAGACTGGAATCTGGCTGGATCTAGAGCAGTGTGAGTTCCTTGGCTGGACTCAGTTCTGGCTCAAAGCCCCTACTTGGCCCCAGGCGTCACAGGTTTGAGGATAACCCCAGTCTACAGGGGGCACTGGACATAAGGAGACAGACTATGCTTCTGTCTGTTGCATCTCCAAAAGAAAAAAATGTGTCAAGCTGGACACATCCCCAAGAGGGAAACCTACTTGGGAACGTGTCACAGTGCTAGGCAACTAGAAAGGGTGCTTCCTTCAAACAATTTACAAGACATTAATATTCAACCAGCTGCAAAGCACAATGGTCAAGTTCTGCCTTCAGGCACTGAGGCTTCAATGTGACATGAATAGGCATTTCCATGAGCTTCTGAATAGAGAATCTGGGCCTGTTTATGTAAGGTCTGGCCTTAAAAAAGCCACGAATTTATATGATTAAGGGAAAACACTTCAGCTGGCAGCCTGTCCTTTAAGATTCACATCAAGGGGCAAAAGAAAGAGAAGTGAACTACTGTCCATTAAGTACAATTCAGAGATTCTGCCCGGGTTTTCTGCACTAATTCAGATTTCTTCCTTTAGTAGGTCAAATCAGACCTTCCATGCTAATGTGAGATACGTATTCTTTTCTTAGTTTTATGTTTATCAGAATCTAAAAACCTGTGGTTAAAGCTTATTTTTCAGAGTCTATCATTTGCAAAGGCTATTCATTTTCAAGTTAATATGCTCCTAAGATGTTTTGGAAATTGAAAAGACAGATAATAAATTATAAAATTAAGAAAAATTATCATTTTCTATCTCACATGTTTGCTGATTTTTAAAAAGTTTTGGAGGGCCAGCCCTGTGGCCGAGTGGTTAAGTTTGTGCGCTCTGCTTCAGTGGCCCAGGGTGTCGCAGGTTCGGATCCTGGGCACGCATATCACACCACTCATCAGGCCATGCTGAGGCGGCATCCCACATGCCACAACTGGAAGGACCCACAACTAAAATACACAACTATGTACTGGGGGGCTTTGGAGAGAAAAAGGAAAAATAAAATCTTAAAAACAAAAAAAAAAGCTTTGAACAGTAAAATGCCAGATAATAAAAATTTGGATTTTGTTAACCTCATTATTATTAGAATAAAAAATATAAACAATTATTAGTAGAAATGAGCCTAAATATATACATGGCATAAAAGTTCCAAATGAGGCCCAATGTAACTGCAAGCAGCATAAATTATAATAATATTCATATGCTTAAAATAGCAGCCAGAGTGGGTAGTTAACAACAAAATTTCACTGCTTCTAGAAGAGCATTCCAGAGCAAGTCCATTTGCCCAGCAACAAAACAAAAGGAAACAAACAAAAAAAAAACACCACCTGGGGAACACCACCTGAAGGCCTCTTCAGTTAGAAAGAGCAGTAAGTGATTATTTCTAGGATCGGAGTGATGGAAGACAGGCTACAAGCTCCGCTTCCTGAGTGGTCCAGGAGAGCAGTTACAGGGATGGCTGGGAGGAGTACATCAGGGAATCTGAAGGTCAACATGGCAGCCTCTGAGTGATAGAAATCAACTTCATGGTGTTGAGACAAGCCTTCAGGTTCACAAAATCCTGAGTACCCCAAGGAGGTACCTGTATCCTTTTCACCACAAAACCAGTAGTCAGGGAAACTATTAAAATTCACCTGAATTAATTAATTAATTCATTCAACCACATATGGTGAAATATGATACAAATAATCAAACATCTATTTTAAAATGTCTTTGTTGCTTATAGTCTTCTGAAAGAGTCAGTCAATAAGGTCACTTCCCTCTCAGACATTTTAGAAAGAAAAAACCTTACCCTCCCATTGAAACCCCTGCTGCCAGAAAAGGAGCAGAAGGGTACAGAGTGTGTACGTGGTGAATCACCGTCTCCAGGTCTTCAGTGTTAGCACAGCAGTACGTCCTTGGCGTCTGTAAGCAGTAACAGGTAAAGCACAAATATTCAAGTTATGAGGTTAACAATTGGTATAATGCACAAATGTAAAAAAGAGCAAGAGGTCATAAATATGAGGAAATAACCTTTGTCTGCACATACTGTTAGTAATAATAATTTATCATTTTCATATCCTGCAGTACACATATACACCATTTAAAGTCAACACTATTCGAGTTGGCGCTAACGAAATCATGCAAGGAAGGCTTGATGGAAATGGGGCAAGACCCACACAAACACCTTAAATTAAACAGACATGTAGTACCATACACAAATGTTTCTCTGACTTAACAAAACAGAGGCAATTTAAGAAGAAAACGTGGAGAATTACACTTTTTTATAGAAAAAAAAGGTTATGCTAGACAAAGCTACAGTGATTCTTTATTTTAAAAAAAAAGCAAGCAAGCAAACAAAAAAGGCTTTCCAATAATGCCACAAAAAATTTAAATTGTGGCTCCTTTCTACCCGGGGAACTGTTTTCTCTCCCCTGAGTGCTATCTACCAATGAAGGGCTGTGGTTTTCTGGCACCGCCTTCATTTTTGATACAGCAATATCCAGTCTTATTTATTAATTAGATATTTTCTTTTACAATAATATATCCATATAGTTCTAGCTGTGCTATACTGCAACAGACTCTTAAAATGCTAAAATATGCACAGCTGATTATGCCTCAATACATAATACATTAAAACAAGTGATTTTCACGTGAACTTCTTCAATAAGGGCTCTGTTCCTAGCAGAAGAGCTTCACAGATGCTGCATCTGAGAGCTGGGAGGAGAGGCAATGCCCTCTGCAGATATATGTGAGTGTGGGCATGAATAAAGCACATGCGGGAAAAATAACCAGAAATTTAATAACAAGGAGAGGAGTCTGGTCACTTTAATAAAAACACTGAAACTAGTTACCTGCACTACCCTAATTTTAATATTCCAATAAATCATGATTACAATAGGAAGGTTATCTGTCACCCACCATTGAATCACTAATGAGTAGCTTGAGAAAATAACAATTTTCAAGGATCCCTCCAATAAAACTCAAGCCTAAAACACTACCTATTGCCTACAGTCATCTTTTTGAGATCTGCAAATATGAAGCTCTTCAAAAGACAAATGTTAACCTGACAACATTCACAATGGCTAATGTTTATCGAATAATTAAATTTGTGTTCACAAAACTCTGAAGAAGATCCTATTATTATATCTATTTTATAAATGGGAAACTGAGTATAGAGAGGTTAAATGACTCCTGCAACACCATAACAGCTAGTAGGTGACTAAGCTAAGATACTCTTAAAAATATTTCATGATTAAGGGGCACAAATTCAATATAAAATCTAAATAGAACAATATCTACTACCAAGCTCATCCATAGTGACTGCAGAATTTGTCACAAGAATTCAGGTGAAGAAATCATCCTTACTCAGCATTTTTATTACATGTGAGTCTATTCACACTATCTAGCTCTAAAATTTCTCAATTATTTATGAATAGTCACCAACACGTACTCTTCTAAGGCATGCTTAAAGTGAAGTATGTATGCACATGTATGTACACATGCATAAACACACACACATACACACAGAGTTAGGGTACAAGAAAAACGGCCCATGGAAAATTATTAGGATCAGAGAATCCTAGTGCGAGGAAGGACCATAACAGCACCTGGTTCCTTATTTACACATGAGAAAACTGAGGCTTAGCAAAGCTGAGTAATTTGTCAAAGATCACAAAAAAGCAGAGCCCGGGTTATATGTAAACTATTTCTTGAAAAGCACTGGGATTCCATGAGGGATTCAGCAAATAAATCAATATCTGGTACCTTAAGATATAGGAACTGATTTTTCCTTAAACGTTTTTATCTAAATGGATTACATTACGATCAAACTGTAAATACTGGTGTGGATCAAAGTTGCCAGAACGCTGAAACTCAGAAAATCTAGAGTCTTTTCAGCCTGTTCTCCTCCTGCTTCTGGCTTTCCATTTCCTGCCCAGCTCCTGTCACTCTGCCCACAACCCCAAATGTGGGTATTCATTACCAGAAGTTTTGTCTTAGGCCTGCATCTGCTTCTCTGGTCAATATCCAATTCCTGAAGGTCCTATCCACCTCCACAGCTTCATCAACAACCTCTATGCACACACTAAATAACATCTCCACTGTTACCTTCACCTTGAGCTCCAGATCCAAATTTCCAAGTTCTAGCAGGCAGCTTCACTGTACCGTTAATGTAATCCGCCACTGTAACGTTCTGTCAGTACTTCAAACTCAAAATGCCCCAAAGTAAATAATTTTCTCTTCATGAAAACTCCTAACGCTGCTCCGAACTTCCCATTTTTCTATAAATGACACCTATATTTCCCTAGTAGGTGTAGGTGATAGTGCCTTCTCTCTCTCCCTTAACCTCATAGCCAATCCACTGCCAAGTCCTGTAGCTTCTTCCTCCTCAGTATCTCGTGCAAGAAACCCAGGAAACGCCTTCTTTCCATTGTAGTAAAGGCCTGGTACCTTAGATTGGAAGGGCAAGGATGTGACTGCAAGGAGTTCATTTGGAAGGTGATACCAAGAAGCGCCAGTATGAGAGTGGTGAAGTGAGTCAGGAAGGGCAGGAAGTCAACAAAGTGCATCTTATCAAGCAGTTTGCGGCTGTGGGCGACTGGGAATCAATTGCGTTGGGCCACTTTGGGAGACTGTGCTGAACGTGACTCAAAATTATCCCAGCCAAGTGGCAAGGGAGCTGGGTTACTGATCCACCAGTTCCCTTCAGCCATTGACTGAAGGCTGTTCCTGAAGGACATTACTCCCTGGCATTTCTGGTCTGCCCTGAGCACAGGTCCAGCAGGTTCCAGTGGCTAGAGAAGGCCCCCGGCAAACAGATGCAGGTGCTTGCCACTAGACATCATCAGGTAGGCGTGTGTGGGAACGGGAAGTGCCAAGAGGTAAGGTATCAACTCCCTCACAACCAGGCCTTTTTACCTCTCACATGGACAGCCACAATAACCTGTTAATCTGGTTAACTCCTAGCCTTTCCTTATAACCATTCATAGTCATACCTCCCACTCACTGTCAGATTAATCTTCCTAAAGAACACTTCCAGCTCTAATCACGACAGTCTTTCTGCTTAAAAGGCTTCATTAGCTTTCCATTGCTGACTGAATTAAGTACAAATTCCTCTGCCAAGTGTTCAAAGCCCTCCACAATATGCCAAGCAACCTTTCCAGTTCTGTATTTTATTATTTCTCCACGTGTATAGATTCAGGCCAATGGGACACTGCCCTTCTCTTGTCTTCTGGGCCTCTTAATATCCTTGCCACTGGGGAACATCATCTGTCAAATGTCCTTCACTGTCAACTCTGCCTGTCAAAATCAGGCCTTCAAAAAATGTCAGACGAAAGGTAAGACTTGGGGCCAGCCTGGTGGCACAGTAGTTAGTTCAGTGGCCCAGGGATCGCCGGTTCGGATCCCGGGTGTGAACATGGCACTGCTTGTCAAACCATGCTGTGGTAGGCTTCCCACATACAAAAGTAGAGGAAGACGGGTACAGATGTTCACTCAGGGCCAGTCTTCCTCAGCAAAAGGAGGAGGATTGGTGGCAGATGTTAGCTCAGGGCTAATCTTCCTCAGGAAAAAAAAAAAAAAAAAGGTAAGCCTTGGTCTCTGTTCTCCAGGACCTCTACGCCTAATTGTCCTGGCCAGCCTGCTGCCTGACTTTACTCTCTAGGTGAATCTCTGTTACTATCTTACTCATCTCTGACTGTCAATAAATACTTATCAAATTGAACTGAAACACACAAGACTGAAAATGAGAAGACCTGATTAGTAACTTGTGATGTGCAAAGCTATGTGGTTCTATCACACAACCTCTGGCAACCTGATGGGCTCCAACAGGAAACATTATAGGCCTTCTTTTTTCACAGGACTTGAGTCCCATTAGAGAAAGGATTCACCTAGGACACACAGCAAAGACACCTAAGGGAGCAATACACTGAATCGGTTGGCCTGGCAGAAACTTTCTTCAGGTCTAAAGGTATAACTAGTAGCTTTTCAGACAAAAAATGTTGATTAATTCTCAGTTGCTAGGGCTACTAATGTAACCAGCAACTATCTTATTGCAGTAATTCCTGTCTTTTTCCACGCTTCCAGAACAGAGGTGGAGTAAGCCACACATAAAGAGAAAACAGGTGAAGGAGGATCTGACGGGATTCCGCGGGCCAGTGAAAACGCCTTTTAGAGGGAGACGAAGATGGGAAAGGTATTTTGGAAAAATGCAGAAAATCTAAAAGATAGATAACCTTCCAGCAGATGTTTGGGCATAAATATTTTATAAGTTAGATAGAATAATTTGATAATAATTACAAACCAAGATTGTTTAAATTGCTCAACTGTAACTATGATGAGACAGAAACAACAGTAATTTGTTTAATGGCTGTTAGGGTTAGTTTTTAAAAAATCATTACAGAGAATAATGAAGTAAAAATAATTCTTAATTATTCATACATAATAGATGGGAAAAGAATAAAGCATATATTTTATATTTATCTATGGACTGCATCTAATTTACCCTTCTTAGTCAGCTTCCAAAAAGTAGACAAACTGATTTCTCCCCAACCTGAAAGAGAATTTTCTTGTCCTCGTTTATAAGTTATTTGTTTGAAAATGCAAATTTCATTAAAAAATTTTTTTTGTCTATAAACAAATTAAAATTCTCCCTGTTGATCAGGTAGCCTGACTCCCTAGCTATTCTGGGAGCAGATTAATTTGCCAATCTGCAGTAGAAGCCATAACCCAGGACCCTTGTCTCAGTGCTAGGACTGCCTACCACATATCTGATACTGAACTGGGCTATCTAGTAAAAAGATTTTAGTTTTCTATCAAGAAAAAAAGAATTATTTAAATTTCACATCTACTTTATTGTAATACCTGATAATCAGCAAGAGTTTAGAATATTTCATCTTATAGTCTTCCTCTCTCAAATATTTAAT